TAGTGATGCCTGTCATCCAATTTAGCGAATGCTTCTGACGTTAAGTGTTCCAACATGAGGTTGGCAGTGTTGTTTTGACAGACCATCTTTACTGGTTTTCCAGTCTCTATAAGTGTTATTAGTGTCAGGATTAGGAGAACGTGAGGGATTTCTACTTGTAAAATTATATTAACAGTGGGACAAAAGTAAGCAGATGAAGTTGGCTGATGGTCAGGAAAACTTAGTGCGCTTATGGAAGTGTATGTAAGGTTATTACTTCCTAGTTGCTCAAAACATGGAAGTCAGTTACTTATTGGAGTACCTAAAACTGAAGGAGCATCAATGTTGAGTTAGTACACAGCGCAGGGGAGAACCGTTTGAGGTTGGTCACACATTGCCTGCTTGAAGTGGATTTTGGAGTTAAGGCAGAATTAAGGCCTTGCCGCATCAAGGTAAGTCGGGATGTGCAGTTTTCGGGTCTGGCCGTTTATAACTCCCCTCTCCAGAGCTGAGGGGCAGCATAGAATGCTTTCTAGTCATCTCAGGGGGCCATCACATCCGTATTTGCCGGCAATATGGCTTCGCCCACAGGCCAACAACGAAATAAAACATGATGGCAACTGATTCGAGTATAACCACAATCCAAACGACCATAGTGGCATGGTAGGACCTGCAGGAACATCAATTCCAGCTATTATAGCTGGCTGTCATTGCTAAATACAAGCCTGACCACCATGCGACGGTAGCAATATCGATCGGGTAGAAAATCCGCCGTTATCGACGGTTATTTGGGGAGAAAATGAGTGTTGGTTATTCATATACGTAACGCCATCACATTAGTGTAAGTTGAGCCCATTCAAAAGAACGTTCAAACAAGAGTAGCATAACATTATTTATATCCAAACCATTACAATCGTTTTACAATGACACCACAAGAACATACAGTAAGAAGGGAAAAAGCCAAAAACTAGTAAAATGACCCCAGATAGAAACTCATAAAAACGAACTGTTCAAAACTAAAACTATAAACCAAATGTCGAGTTAACTACTTTAGGCCTTACCAAAGCTGAGGTGGTCTGGGCAGTATCTCAAGATAATTAATCAAGCAACGCTGGTTTGAATAAATGTTACTCAAGATCCAATTATGCTGAGAAAGTTAATTCGGAGATTTTAGAAAAGCTTGGTATGAGACGTTGGCATTCCAAATTATCACACCATGGCAAGACCTCCAAGGTAAAATTTATTTCAAAGTGAACTTTGTCTAATATGGGAATCAAGAAATAAACCGCATGAAGAAAATAAAAGACCATTCAGTGAAGAGAATTTTCTTTTCGACGAAGTCATCAACTAGGCTGTACACAAAAATTATAATAATTATTATTATAAATTATAAGAAAAACAGAAATAGAACAAATGACAGATTTTTTTGTAATCTATGCTTCTTTAGGTGGTTTGGTATTAACCGACTATGGATCTCTATAATTAAGAATGTTAAATAATGCTACTGTGGGCTAACTTAACTGTTTTCCAAAGTTTTCTATAAATGTTCCAGGTAATTAGCATATAATCTGCCTCACGAACCGTCCTGCTGATATCTTGCTACTCATCGGGAGAGAATAAGGTCAGCTGGAACAGCTTCTGATCATCTCACATGCACATTCTGACGATTAGGTTTTGCCGTCCTTACGCGAACAATTTTTGACTTTATGTACATGAACCTTACTCAGGTCATTATACTCGATATCCGCCATATTGCACAGGTAACCGTCAAGGAGTTGTAGGAAACTTTCAGGGTAATCAGTGTTTTTGTAGCATAATGTTCTATTATGCAGCCAAGACTTTACCCGATATTCTCACGGCGTCCTGTAAATGCAGCCAGTGTATGTATAAACTACCGGGTAGGGTGGGGCGCTATGGATATTCAGCAAGTTTGTGCTGCCTAGAAATAAGTTGTGATCTGCGCAATTCTACAGGAGATGCTCTCTATTATCTGACTGGCGACCACTTAAACGGCTCTCCATCTGAACGTAGACCACTGACCTGTGCATCCAGTTTCCAAGCTATCACAATGGTATTTGCCAAAGGCGCGTGCTTGAGAACCTAACTCTGACTGACTAGCTTCAACATAGAACTTTGCACCGATGTGCAGCAGTTCGAGTCGCCACACTTCACTCAGCACACAAAGAGAGAGAAGAAGAAAGTGAGAAGAAATACTAAAGAGAGACAGTAACAGAGATATAAGGCAAAAAGAATGGTAATATCGAAGAATAATATAGTTGTATTGGATATTATATGCCACAAGAAGCGGATGCATCTGCGCCATTGAGAACGATTTTGAGCCATATCACCAGCCTTTTTTGGTTTTTACCATCCGAGGACCCCAATCAGTCAGGAAGTTTACAACTCCATATATGGCAGGGTTAAACTAACTGTTGTGGATTTCATTGACTGATCAGGCCATGTTTTGGTTTGACCACCACTGGCTGTTTTCCAGCCTGACCCTATGTCAGCTAACTTTGCCCATCAAGGGAGGCGATCGATGGCTAGGCATGCGCAACACATGTTCTAACCATTTCAGTCGATGTAGCTTCGCAACCTCATCTATTGACTTCCCCCTCCTTACCTGGTACTCGACTGTTGCCTAACCTCAATATTGTTCACCCTACTAAACCACTTCACACTGGAGATAGAACGCAGGCACCTTCGATCAAAGACAGCTAGAATTTCCATGTCTTCTTCATTCAATGGTCAGGTCTCATAGCTATAAAGGAGGATGGAGCGGACTGCTGAGAAGTACACACGTCCTTTGGTCGATAGCCGGATATCACGTCTACACCAGAGATGGTGTAAGCTGGCATATTAGAAACGAGTCTTCTGTATCTATGTTGAGATTTCGTCAGCGATCAACCCGTTGGGGCTGATGCAACTCTCCAAATAAGTGAAGTGGTCAACGTGCTCTACCAATTCACCCCCTATTTCTGAGATAAAAGTCAATGTACTCCAGTCCTGTAGCATAATCTTACATTTGGAGGAGAGAATCGCATGCCAAACATTCGAAGATTGCAACTCAAGGTGTTCAGAAGACTCTGCATTTTGTCAGTGTCTTCCCCAAGTAGGGAGACCTATACCATCTGCATATTCTAGGTCAACGAGACTATTATTCCCTGGTAAGAAGTCAATCCCTGAGTCGCTGGACTGAGTTAGAGTTAGGTCCATTAGTACATCTATGATGAAATTCAATGTAAATGGGGATAGTGGGCTGGCATCCCTGACGGATACCACCAGTTGTCACCAGTTCAGATGACAACTCGCTGTAAGCTCTCACCTGGCTGGCTGTATGAGTTCGAGCAGAGTGCCGTGGTCAGTGCAATCCATTTCCTCGGCATTCCCTTTACAGCCAAGCATCGCCATAATACCTCTCGGTCGACAGAATCGAATGCCACATTTAGGTCAAGAAATATAACGATTGTTGGACGCTAAACTAACTCAGTTGGTTGTAGAACTCAGCCTTAATTGCATCCGGGTTTAAATCAGTCGGTGAGTAGTCAAACATGACGAGTAGATAACACTTCTCTGGCCCCTCGGCTAGTTATCGCAGATTTGCTGGTTTAGGGATTGTGTTGAACTCGAGAGCGGAAAACTCACTACTCAATTAGATCCTGATGACCAGTTGTATATATGCTGGGCGCCTGAATGGATCTATAGAAGTGAGGAGTGATCATGACATTCCTCGACACCTTTCCATAATCTTTGCTTGCACGCTTACTGCTTGCAGCTAAGCCCAAGTAATGTATGAGGTTTTTTGTATAGTTTGTCGCCAAAAGCAAACCACTTAGGTATTTTTATTTTAGAGAGTCATGTTTATTCTTGAGTAGAAACGATGAGGTAGTCCGAAGGGTATATTGAGAATATCTATGTTGTCATATTACAGTGAACCAAAAACAGTGATTGTCTTCTACAGTTCTTTTCCGCTACTAATTTTGAACATAAACAGATACATCGCCTCATCTGGCAATAGCCAACGATGGACGCAATATATTATCAATGGAACATTTCTGTGGACTTCAGTCATGCATTAGCTCATGCACATGTACGCCTGAGACCGAACTAACGAGGACAACTAGCGACTGTGAAGTTCTTAAATATCCAGCTACTTGGTAGCAACGTAATGTTTGTTTGTAAAGACAGTATATCACACTACTTTAACCCATATCATATAAGAGCTTATTGAGTCTCCGTCTGAAGTGCTAACAACCGTGTTCGTCAAGGATTTCCACTGTTACCACTTTCATTTGGTTTCACCAAAACCGTGGTTCCGATCAACTGCGATGTCTCCAGAATCGGCTTGATACCCGGGTAGTTTCGTTGGTTTACTGCATGTAGATGTTGACAAGAATACAGCCTCCCGAATACTGAGCAAAAATCAGAGTATTTCTGGCGTGCTCCTTGCACCTGTGAAATGTACGATGGTGTTACAGGACTGATCTGTATGGACTGTAGCTTAATCGGTTTAATGTATAGATTGCACTACTTACTTGAAAAGCTATATCACTTTTGAGAGACTGTCTATTAACAAAAACTGAGCATGAATTGAAGACACTCGTTTGGTATTTATCAATTCACGTCACTTTTGGAACAGATAAGGTAATCTACCACTCATTAAAGGGTGTGAGTATTGAGCAGCAGCAATATCGATGTTATACATGAAGTAACAGACAAGGAAGAGAAGTCAATCGATGGGTTATGAAGCCGAACTGATTAAGACGGTTATAACATGTGTTGTTCATGTCGAAAAACCGTCCTCCTTGAAGATCGACGTTAACCGGAAAAGAATTAGGAGTGGTCAGACAGAGATATAACACTAATCCGTGATGCATTCAACTGTTGGTCCGGTTCGGGAGTGCGAACCACCCTCCTAAGATCCTCTAGGAGTTAAAAGTTTGATGATTTGACTGGCTATTATTCACAATGGTGCAGAAAGTTTTACGACTAATTCACTAAGAAATGAACAAGCAGTAGGAGTGCTTAAAACAAAGCTGCTAATTTACACTCGTCTAAGTTTCTCTGCATACTAGGGGAACTCGATCGCATATATTCGATAATAATGATGGAAGTAGGATTGGTTTAATACTAGTTAGCTTAACTTGTCACGTCTGGTAGTCAGCTGCAAAAACAGAATTGCGGTGAAAATATGTCAAAGAATGCATTTGCAAAACTGAACAAGTAAATTAGATCACAAGTGCATTTTATGTACAAAAAGAAAGTTCTTTGAACATTAGTGAACAAGAACTACACAATGACTCATCATTATCAGTTTTCAAAACGGTTTCTTTAGTATGTCCATTGGCATTTGACAGTGAAGCAGAATGTTTTATAGACTCTGTAGCCAATTTATCAGGGTCACCGTAAGATGATGTTTTGTATACTGGATACTAAAACGGAAGAAAAATACAGAAGGAAGAATATTGTGTATATATCACAGGTGAATTTATTACAAGTTGTACTCATTGTCTTGACAGAATTTAACAAGAGCTAATAAATACCATGGGTCACACAATAAAAACTGTATTTTTCAAGGACAATTAATTATTCAGTCTAAATCGCTTAGCTTTTGCAAAGAAGACAAGATAAACACTATGCACAAAATAAATTGAATGAATTGTGATAATTACCATGTTAGTCCAATTGGATGTCCCCTTCGACTTGGAGTCAAATTACAAAACGTATCATTTCATATCAGTGTATTTAGACAAATATGGACACTAGTTTGGCTGAGAAAATGTAGAAATCTTAGACTGGAAACATCGAAAATACCAGGAAACTCCTAGAAGTCTGGTGCTCAGACACATCACTGTAGGCCAAATTTATCAACTAATAGAGAATAAGGCACAAGAAATTTAATTTCCCAGTCAATAAAAAGGACCGGCACTGAGCAAATTAATGACTAATCACAACAAATATTGCCAGCAGATACAATCACACCATTCATTATTATTATTATTATCCCTTGGGTTCCAAATGGAACATAGGGATACGGCAGCACATCCCGATTTCGCCCTGTCCTCTATAGTTTTTTTCGGTTGGCTTACATGACTGGTAGCGAGCACTTATTTCCTTTTCACACGTACTCCACGGCCATGGCAGCTCGCCGTTTTCCATCCAGGTTCCACTTGAGGGCCTGTCACTTGATGTTACTTTCTAGTCTACTCAGAGTATAAGCAATCCATCTGTTTTCTTTTGCGTATTTTTTGGACGATATGTTTTTAGTTAGTTCGTTGCCAGAGTGACTTGTTGGCAATCTGATGTTCAGTATCTAGACAACAAAGTCATCCGTTGATGGAAGTCTGATGAACGATACACAAATACCGACTCGACATTAACGTTGAAGGTCCGAAACTTGTTTCTTATGCTGAATGAAGCAGATTATCACACTGATTTCGGAGTAATGAAGGTCCGTCTTCCTTTTCCGATCCTGCCCATCACATCCTTATATGTACCCACAGTTAAGACGATACTGTCTTAATATGCTGAAGAGGTGATTTCTTTCAGATTTCTCCCGTTGAAGGTTATTAATATGTGTTGGTATTCGTTAGGTATTTTGAATATGAAGTCCTGCCTTCACCGCTTCTTCAGCCAATCCGCTTGTTCTCGCCTGTAGACTTTCGAGTTCGCGTGACATTAGATACAAATCATCCGCGAATTCTATATCACCTTGAGTCTTCTTGTCAGTCCAAGGTATATTGTATATGTCTTCTCATTTCCCACGGTCTATCGCATGATCCATTCCACCACAAGCAAGAATACCATCGGTATTGGTAGGCAACCTATTTTTACTATTGTCTTCACTGAGTTTTCGTTGTGAATCGCTGGGCATGTTGGATCATCATATAGGTTCATAAGGGTTTGGGACACTCCGTTGTGTTGAAGTATTTTCCGAATGACTTCATGGTCACTGCAGTCGAAGATCTTTTTCAAATTCAATGAAGCTGAGGTAAAGTTTTGACCACCAATCTATGCTCTCTTCGATTATGATGTGTTGCGTTGTAATTTGGTCTGCAGATGATTTACTTTTCCTGTATCAAGCTTGTTCGGGAGGTAGTTTTTCATCCAGTATGACGCGACTCAATATTTTGCTTGCTAATCATGATTCCGCGCTAGTTTTTCCAAAGGCTCAGGTCGTTCTTTTCAGGGGGTTTGATAAGATAGTTCTTCTTTCAATTAGTAGGCACCTTTTCTTTCCTCAAAACTTTCTGCAATAGTGGCATGAGCATATTTACTGAGGTCTCTGGGTCCATTTTCAGTTGTTCAGGAGGAATTTCGTCTGATCTCACTGCTTTTCCATTTTTCTGTAACTTTACGATATTCAACACTTCCACTTTTATCGGATTGGTGTCCACCGGCAGTTCTGAGGCTGTTGGTTTCTGGACTAGTTGCAGATGGTGGTTGATTTAAGAGTCCTTTAAAGTCATCAGCCCATCATTGCCTTTGTTACTTCTCTTTGATAATTAGATTTCTTTCACTAACTCCCATTGGTTTCTATTCCCTGATAGCGACCTTGTTATCAGATACAGCGTTCTGAGGTCTTTCGTTCGTGGATAATTCAGATAAGTCTACTTCAGATTAAAATCTGCGCTGAAGATATTGTTCATAGAGACAATAAAAGCTTGACAATGAAATCATCCAGTTCAGAGAACACAAGCACATCAAAATAATCCTACCGAAATAAAAGTATTCTCTATCATTTCAATCTCCGTCACTTAGAACACAACATAATTAAGATTCTCTAAAGTTTCACAATGGTGCTTATAACACAAATAAGTGTAACACAGTGTAACAAAGTTAGAAAATAGAGATAAAACTCTACAATGAAGCAGTTTAAGACCTTTTACAATTTAATGAATATATTTACTGCTTATCATCTTCGGTATTTCGAATATTTTGACTGATCTGAGTTTTCATTCTGTTACACAATTACATTTGTCAGTTGAAATATCATCGTCCTCTCGCACTATTCACTTTTGTCTTATGCTAATTTAGCAGTCAATAATAACGAAATAAAGGTGAAAACAGGTACGATGGAGGGTTGAATTTAATAAACAGTCAGTATTTCAGAAAAACAGTGAGTGATACCTGTCTTTAAATGAACTTATGAAATTTATTTTTGAAAGAGAGGTACAACAGGGCAAGGGAAATTACAACTGTAGTAGACATAGCTATTATGACTAAACAACATGGATATGCGGAAGTCATTAAAAGGTTCAAACAAACAATTTAAGGAAACAAACGTTGGCGCTAGGGTGATGGTGGTATTAAACTCGATTTTCACTTTCATATTTCTCACAAGCATTGTAAACTTCTTAGTAAAAAGAAAGATTAATGCATCACAGTTCATTCCATAGATAAAAACAAGGGAATTACAGCTTCGGTATATAAAAATCCTACTTACGTGACAAAAGGCACATACAGTCTCAGCATCATTGGTAAGGACAATCTTTGAAGATGTTCTGTGAATTAAGAGAGTATATAAAAAATCATGATACTTGGAAATAAATGTGGTAAGTTTATACAAACTGGTGAACGAACGGTTGGCACAAGAATTGCATAAAAGACACCTTCATACACGTTAGTCCAATAATATCGAGGACTTGCAAACATTCTAATTTTTTCTCTCCAAAGTACAAAAAATAATAAATGTGTGCACAATGACGACGAATAAACCATCTACACCAACGTTCATCTTTGTTAATTCCTGCAATTTTTTATCTGTCGACTAACAAAAATGAATTACCCTTATTTTATTGCCCTACAACTCGCCATAACAATTTGACTTCATTGAAAACTGAATTTAGTCAAGTAAAATAGGGTAAACAGCTACAAGTTCCAAATCATACAGTGCACAATTGAAACTAGATGGTAACAAATGTCAGAGTGCAGTTTGGACACTGTGTTAGGATATAACTGCATATTGGATAAGTCTATTTGAAGTAGCATCCCAAACACAATTTATTAGTTATAATCATATCAAACCAAGTTAGCTGAACAGCTTGCCACAGATGAATCCATTAAATATTCAGTCTTGGCTAGGTTCTGGAGAACACCTGAACCAATACTAGTGTAGTCTGAGCTGTCCCTTGACACCAAGGCGTCACTTGACTCGTCTATTGAAAAGGTTTGGCTGGTACATCTTAATGACCACCTTAACCATAGTCAACCATTAGCAGTCGTGGAAGAGTCGGTAATGATTTATTCTGTAGCCTATGTCCTGTTGGGTGATGTTTGTCACAGATAGTCGTTTTTTCGCCTTTCTTCAGATTTATAGAGTAACTAGTAGAAATAATCCTCGCTAAATTATGTAAGCCTAATTTATATATATATATATATATATATATATATATATATATATAAACACGTGTACGAAAACCACAAAAACAAAACTCGATTTCCAGTAAAGTAATGATAAGTGGGAAACGACGGAAGTGACCCTGGCCATTTAGATCCTTCTAGAAACCTATTTTATTAATTTTATTTCCGCCATTATCTTTTCTTTGGAACATTTTAAAAGTGTTGATTATTGATGAACACTTTTGAGAATCTCCAGCAGAGACCATAATTGACACTATGAACTATAATCCTGAGGACAAAAAACAACAAGAAATATTACTGAATAGCGACTCAATTCCGGTACATGCTCAAAGGTATTCATAGTCGACAAAGAATAAAGTGGATTCACCGAATTCGGTATAAAGAAACAAGGCTTTAGACGAAATTTGGTAGACAGAAGTAAAAAAAACAAGCAGCTGATTAGGTTAACTCACTTTAAGATAGTTCCAGTAGTCGACGGAAATCCCCCAGCTTGAAGTGAAGCTAAAAAATCCTGTGTTAATCTTTCCAGCGTATTTACACTCGGATTTTGAAGCATAATCGATGTTAACGGATCATTCGGTGTCGCTGGCTTCACGCACATAAAGTGTGCAAATAGAGTTAATTCCTTGGCAAGAAAATCGCGTAATGGTCTGACAATTGTTACATCCTTGAAACGCTCATCTAAAAATGACTACAATATAAAAACAACTCTCTACGCTTGATATTTAAAGATGTGAAAAAATCCTCTCACGATAATCAAATATGAATCGAAATTCTCAGAATCACAATTCCCCGATTACCAAACTGAGTCCAGCAAAGTTAACGAAAGGCAATCAGAAACATTATATTATTATTATTGTATCCTTTAGTTCCTAGAAGAACATAGGGCTTCAGATCAGTCACAGTAAAACCCTGATAAGACTGTGATTTACTAGGTGAACAACTTAGTATAGTAAAATATACAAATCTCCATGTTAACAAATTTTTGATGGACTTGCTTTCGTTATCCCTGCCGTGGTTAGAATTGGAATACATTACCATTATTCCCAACATTAATTTGGTACGGTCCATAGCTGGAAATAATAAAGATTTAAACCGAGTGCAGCGAATGAAGCACAACTGTCAGTTGTGATCGGGACGTCTAAAATCATTCTCTTATAAATTTGATTTCGTTAATGTTGCCTACGCTGAGTGTTTTCCAAACTGTTACTTCTAATTATTACGAATTTCTCATCCACGTAACGTATCGAAATTTCGGTGGAATTATGGTTTTAGATCTTTCCATAACAGCTTCAGTAATCAGTCCTGAAATGGGAGGGTGTCTTTTTCTTTGTTCATATATTTGACCAATAAATTCAAAACGTTATCAGACATAAATTTATGCACTCAATACAAATTTGCATTGTTCTTTAGAGTATTAAAAGTGGTATTCATCACTGCCGAGTAACTACTGCATAGTTTCTTTTACCAGTTTTAGTCTAGTTGAAGTACATAATGCTGTGCTATTAAAAGATACCATAATTTCCCAATCGTTTATTTCAATATTTTTGGCTTTCTCCAGAAACTTATTTGTAAATTTGTTGGGATAACTACAGAATTCTAGTAAACATTTTAGCTTTTTCGATACGTTCCTTGTAAAAATTGTGTATTGGAGTTCTTGGGCATGAGACGATTGGTTGTTGTATATCTCCGGTATAGGCGATGCGTCATTTTGATTGTACGTGTGCGGTATTGAGTCGATAAACAACGATTCAGTGATTAGGGAGTTTAATCACTGAATTTTTGTTTGGCATTTGAAACAAACTTATTTTACACGGAATTGCATTCCATTGCAGTGTCCAAGTTCTAAACTTACTTAATGTTCCTTTAATTTCCTAGTCTTTCAAGGGACTTCAGTTCTTGATAATTGAGTTTAGTATGGTGTTTTTTTATTTGACCATACGAATTTCACTAACACATCACTTGATCATTGTGCCTCATATTTCCATTATCTGTATAATTGACATGCATTTAATTCATTGTTAACATTAACTGCTTAACATTACATACTTTAATTCAGTAGCGTTTAATTCCGTCCACTATATCACTGTTTCTCATAAAACTACAATCTTGCCTTTACATGTTAATATATCATAATTGCTATGGCTCTATAATTATAGGGCATGAGACAGTGTTGGGTGCAGAAGTTGTGTAATAATTGCGAAAAATTGCAAAGTACACAGATAAAGCGAAGAAACTAACAAAGTCGTGATGTCAAAAGTTAAATAAGACTTAATTGCCTCTGTGGCATCTGAATACTGCGTTCGTGAGTTTATGTTCTCTTAGAAGCTACATTTGTCTACGTGGCTTAAACACACAGGCAAAGACTTCGTGAACACGTCCAGTGTATTAGTTCGGCCAACCCAATTCGACTTTAAAACGCCCTCAGGTACATAGGGGTTGAGTATAGCATTTAAATGACAAGACACTATTAAATAATATGATTATAGGGTTTATCAGTCAACAAGTGAACAAGCACATGGAAAAAAGTTGATAAAATAAACTGAAAACTACAGTTGGTAAAGTCAGTGATCATTTGTGCCGATAAGAATGTACGCATGTGGTAGGCTTTAGAATTCGTAGGCTTTTGACCAGAATGTGTATTATTGAAAGCTGCTGATATTTTGTTACAAAAGAAATATGAAATATTTGATGAATATATTCAGTTTACATACTTCTATCATAAATAATTTGGTCTTTCAAAGCATTTCAATTCAGTAGTCAATTAAGCGTGAAACTGTAACACTAATAGTTTGAAACCACTCAACATATTCGAATGTCAAAAGAAATCTGACTGCCTAATCTAATCTCAGGTGGTCAGGAAATGTCTGCACAAACTAAAATTTAGTTGATACGATCTGACAAGCATTTTTAATAGACAGTTTAGGGGAAGCGACAGTGAAACTTATGTGGTATAGAAGTAGAGGACTTTAATAAATTATAGTCAGTTATGAAGATAATTCTTTGCACATCACTATACTTTAAGGTTAACGAGTGTTCGGTATTATTATTCAAACAATAATAAAAATGCAGAGGTAACAACGACAATACGCATATCTTTCAAACATGATATAAGCGATATCATTTCTCACCGTTTGTATGCTACTGTGATTTCCACGACCTCCTACAATTTCCTGTAGGTATTTTACAGCAATTCTATTCCCACATTCTCCCAAAATCAAGAATTTACAGTCAAGTCTCCGAGCACAATCAACCAGCGATGAAAGACGTGAGTAATCTTCGTACCGTTGTTTGCTGCTGAGCATTGATGAAGTCATTTTACTTTGAAATAAGTCATTCCTGAAATTCTTTAAAATATGTTTGTTTTTTGTTAAATGCAAAATTACTTCGTCTGAAGGCATAATATGGTATTCGAAACCTGTGCGTTTCATTACATCTACAATCAAATCTAAATCAGATTGACACTCCTGGTACTCTGATAAGTAAAATGAGAATAAATTGGTGCTTAACTAATCTTACCAGTGAGATGAAATACTTTTGGTGTAAACCTAGTTTTCTTGGAAACATTAAAGCTCTAAAAAATGAATTGAACAGTTATATTTTTTAGACCGATATACCTCAGAAATAAGTTTCAATAAGGCTGCTGAATTCTGGCCACCAGAAAATGCTAGAGCCACACTGCTTCCCCCAGAATTCAATCCGTACTTTCCGAATGCGGAATTTATTTTATGAAGACAGCTGCTGATGAAGCATGACCTGAAGGGGTGTTTAAAAAGGAAAAAAACATTTCGACTTTACCTGCATAGGGCGGGATCATCCTTTCTGATCAGCACAGCAGGTGGGCCCTGACATTTGACACACTGCGATATCCTGAATATTTAAAAACATGAATGTGCTAAGCCAGTAGGTCACAAACCTCTCTTCTTTCTTACTTTTCGGCGTTAACAAACACGAACAATCCTCTTCCTGCATGCACATTGTAAAGAGTTTATTCCATAAACGGGAAGAATTTCACTCCATAGAACGACATTAATGGTTGACAAAAATATCTGCAAGACGAAAAAAATATCATTCTCACGAATGAATTACAAACACAAATACATACTGATTAACTCTTCAAAACGAATAAAGCTTCCGAAGTATTTCATATAGTTGTGATATGCAGGAAAGCAATGGAGAAAGACTTTTCTCCAGTGGTTTAAGCACAAGATCAAAACTTTGAAAATTGGTTGACTGAAGCACGAATTTAGATAAAAACTACTATGTACACGCATGAAGTATTTACATAATGTTTTAGAAGTGTGATTCTTTGTATATATCCATTTTAATCCTCTTAACCTTCACTGATTCATCTCATACAAAAGGATAGTACAGTAGACCCTCAGTTTATTTATTTATTTATTTCAATGCGCCTTATACATCATGGAAATCAACAGATATGTCATGCAATTTATTTATTTATTTATTTAAACGCATAAAAACTTGGTACAATATGGCACCAAGAAGGATGCGCCACTCAATAATAATAAAACAACATAGATCAAAAGGAAAAAGAAGAGAATATATATATAAGTAGAGAACGGATAAAGAACTTCATCTGGAAGGCAAACAGTCATGCTTAACAAGTTCAAACAGTATTCGTTAACTATCATCGTGAAGGGAAGAAAGAAGGAAACTGCAACACGTGTAATAGCACGCGATAAGTTTCATTGATTGATTGTTGCTTCATTCAGTTCATTGTGTGAGGGCTGAGATACTGCCCGGGCGCCCAAACCGAAGCAGGTGGTTTTATTAAGGGACCACCTCCGAGCCTTTGACTTGGAGTCTAATCCGCAAGGCAGCGGAGCAGCATTCCCATGGTTGCCGGTGACCCATATGGGTTCATACGCCATTTGATCCGATTGGATACTGGAGCCCATGTACCCCATAGTAACTGCTTTTAGTTTAACCGCTATCCAAACAACCTTCCTGACATGGTAGGACCTGCAGGGACAGAGTCCCAGTCAGTTTAGCATGTTGGGTCATTACGGTATTCAAGCCCGACCACCACGACAAGGTAGCAGTTATCGGCCGGGCAAAACTAACATAACAAACATATGAAGATAAAATTAAAAAACAGTTAGAGACTAATTGAAAAAACATGAATTCTCACGAAATGTAATCACATAACACCTGTTATTACTTTTGATTCTGCGCCGCATTTAGCAACTTATAAAGTCACCTAGTAGCATGACCAATTTGAAAGTACCTAGGGAGTTGTACTATATCAATAAATATTAACACTACGCTCCATTTCTTAGCATCATGTCATGGGCTATCTACCTCTAACTAACCCAAGGGCGGTAAGGCGTTGTCTTAAGTGGTATTATCTAGTTCCCAGCAAGTCTATTAAAACAAAACGCTATATGTGCAAAATAAGTATTAGGGCTTATTCTAAATGACATTCTAAACTGTGGCAAAAGTAGTAGTAAAAGTCACCAATTGTGGTGGTTCCGTAGGAAAAAGAAAGAACAGAAAGAACAAATATAGCATATTCAGCAAGGGATTTCTGGGACGACATTTATAACTCCGCCTACTAACTGAAGCTAGCGCTTAAAAACGATTTTCCACTTGTCTGACCACGCGCTATTGTACATCATATGATACTGGTTTACTACGGCTGCCATAAACGAACTGTTTTAGTGATGATGAAGCTTTCAAATCTTCATTTACGAGAAGCTATTTCACAATGGTAGGATAAAATCCATACAACGAAGCGTTGGGAACGCAAACTTTGATAGTCAGATTGACGTTGCAACAGCTCAAAGTGATCGGATTTGGAATAAGTCACTCTTGGCTTTCGATGTGCTATTGAAAATCCACTTATTACACTTCAGTAGACACTCATGCACTTGCCTAAACAAACTTTTCAATTTCTTTAGATAGTTTATTTGCAGGGTGAATTCAGATACCACTTTTTGTCAACAGCACAAAACTATTTAGCAATTTAAAGGTATAAAATTGAATGAGATTTTAGTACTAAAGGGCTTAGCAATAATTTGACGGTAATATGTGAAACGGTGTGTTATCAATACACTGAGAACTAGTTTTCCTTGCACTCTGAAAAGTATGATTACGGTTAACATTTTGAACGTGACTGGCAAAAGAACGGTGCCATGATGGCAGCCTCATTTCGGAAAAGTGAAACATTTTCAGTCTTAAAGCTTCAGTACATCCTTTAGTTTCAACTACTAGTCTCACTTCCACCTTTGAAGGTAGTGACAGACTTTTAGGTTTGGAGTCATATCGCTCCTAAGTTCCTCAAATTTTAAAATGATGAGGAAACATGTTTAGAAAGCAAAAAGGTATTGCAGAAAAGAAACTTTTTGTGCTTTTATGTTACTAGTTACCGAAACCAATCAATAACTGTTACCATGACTATATGGCAGGACTTGCATAAGGCTGGAACGCATGTTTTATCATGTCGAAAAGGATATTTGAATAGCGGTCAGACTAAAAGCAGTTACCGTAATAGTGTAAGTCATTCACACTATCTAGGGGCTGAGAACGAAGCCGTATTGCTGTATAGATGCAGCAGGAGTGGGGTGTTTTCCTCAAGTGACCAATAAGCTATGCTGACTCTCTGCTTTGAGAAGTAAAGGTTAGAAAGGGTCGAGCCATGAAATTGTACATCGCAATCTACTTTGGGGCGATAAGATCTTAAAACGGGCACGAGTGCAAAAACTACTTCAAGCAGGCTATGCGACCCATATCAACGAACATTACAAAACTCTTCAGCCTAGTGCTTCTAAGTAAATCTAAAATGACGGCAGGTAACAAAATATTAGTGGACACCGTCTGACAGAATGGTAGAAGTGGCCACACTGGGCCTAACTAGGTCTCATGCTGATGCCACAGGGTGCATGTGAAACATACTTTTCAAACTGACAGACAGACGACTTACTGGAAGAACCTCACTGTTATTTCGTACAATAGTTTCCGAAATACAATAGACGTCAACTAACTAGACTTCCAAAATCCTGACTAAACTTCTCCGTTGTATGAATTCATAATGTAATTAATTACATTAGAGTGCGGAGGTTCCATTTACATGGTCTTAGAATAGTTGCATTAGATAAACCACTGGAGGCCTAGACAACTGCAGAGGCATTCGAACTTTCTTGCGTCAAAAATAACCCTTATAAGTGGTAAGTAGTCTGCTTTCCATTCAACAGTGTGCTTAGAAACACAAGCCACCACTCGTTGTACTTGGTTGAGTGGCAAAAAAACAGGCGCACACAAAAACATATAATCCCACTACTTTGCACTGATTATTTTTTCTGGGTTTAATGGTGAGCTGTTTCAGGATTATATCAGAACTCTCTTAGCAGGTCCTTACATATCTATATACATTGTAAAAACAATTCAGTCAAACTATTTTGAATTGTCATCAACTCGGTAAGATTGCAAATTTAAACCCTTGCAGTCATACCGGTCGAGTTTACCACCCACCTTCAGTGACTGGTCAAAACTACAGATCAATTAGGGGCAAATCTGCAGAGGGCAAAGTTTAAGAATGGAGTCCCAAGAGATGCGAACGCACAATGACCTTGAGCCGACCAATCAGAAAATAGGAGGAATTTTGCATAAAATTTAACGTATATTTACACAAAAATGCATGAAAAAAACATTAAACGGATTATATTTCTCTGATATGACTTAAAAATACGTTCCAGTTGCGATGAAGAGTATCAGTTGCTAATTTGGACTAGTTTCTGTAGATGTATTCACCAAAGAGACTGAAGGTGTGCTGTTTTGGGAATGGTTCATCTCTCTTCTCTTGCTGTGTAGTCCTCTCCTCAGCCCTCGGTTTAATTACTATGGTTCCAGTAAGAGCATTGGCGACTACATACAAGGGAAATAAGGATAACAAACGAACTTCAAATAAACGAAAAATCTATTCCTAATCGCTACCCTAACCCTAAACCCTAACCCTAAAGCCTAACCCTAAACCCAAACCATAACCCTAACCCTAACCACAATACTCGCCTTAACCCCTATCCTAACCCTAACGAGATGTTAACACATTGTCCAAACAGTAATAAAAGTGTTATCTGGGTGAAACTTGCTGCTTATTTGATGAATAGGGTTGATATTTCAGCTATGATAATGACAGAAACCGTTAGCCAACGACTAGCATGCGTTCAAGGTCATTTGAGCGTTGAAGGTTTTGGGACGCTATTCTTAAACTTCGGACTTACTACGAAAACTTAAGATTATCCTAAGAAAGGGATGGTTTGAATAACACGTTTTACTGTGGAGACTTGTTCATAATACGCGCTTTCGAAACCTCAAGGTTTTCGGTGGCCAGAAATGCGGTACGATGTCCCAACCCAAAACCTCTCGTCAAAGGTATCAAGATTCGGGAAATCATCCTATTATTCACTATTTAATATGCAACTTTTCAAAGTAAGGTTTCAAATGATCGTGAGTTTCAAAATGTGCAACCCATTTTCAGTGGAGAGCTTCCTGATAGACGTCGAGGACGATTTGGATAGGCTTAAACCAAAAATAACCCTCACAGTTGTTGTGTGTCTACCTATCCTGCCAGACCTGCGCTTCAGCCACACTACCTGCTGACTAAACAGTCTAGCCCGTTAAACCTGATGACTTGAATGCTTGTGACACTGCCCCCAATTAGGGAAGGGAGAATATAAACCTTATGGCCTTTCACGGATGTATTTCTTAACAGTTAGGTGTGGATAGTATGGAGATGCAGGATCCCACCTCAATTCCTTGAAAATCCGGTTGTCCACAATCTGATCCACTAGGCAGAGATAAACAAAAAATTAACTATTTAAAAAGTAATGTCCAGGGTTGATTTCATGAACTTCTGTGATTCAGTACTGATACAGCACTTCTCTCGTTATCTTATTTTCTGACACTTACACTCACTCAAGGGTGGCTAGCTGATACTTTACATGGCTTTTATTTGACCCTTTAAAGTAGAAATACAACGTAGCAGTCAGTAATTCCATAAAAATATATTGGTGTAGCCTTCACTATATGTCAATAGTGGGTGGTAGAACTCATTGTTGAAGTCAGCTAGAAAAGTTGTAAATGTGCGGAAAATTGCGACGTCATTCGATAGGCTACAGTACCGATTCCTGTTGTTCGTGTACGATGGATAGATAGCTTCGTACACAATAAAGTGTGACCGGGTTGAAGGATAGTATGCGTATACTGTTGTGCCGTTGTCCAGTCATGCAAGTAAATGAAGAGATAACAAGCTATTAAATTAATATCTTTATCACTACTTCATGTCAGCTTTCGCTACAAATAGTTAATAAACACATTTTATTTTTATGGCACCACTCAAGTCACTGTAAACCCATTTATTGTGCGTTTGATGGTATTTACAGTTTACAGATCATTCAGAATTGTGGACATCTGGAATGTATCCATCTTATAGATTCGTTGTGTAATTGAGACTCATTCTTGATTCGTGGGGATCAACAGACTTTGATGATACTAAAAATTTACGTAGAAAACACCACTGTTTTGAGAAAGATATTTCAAACGTAATTGATTCGAGCATCGCTTTTGAGGTAGAAATTGATTTCCCGCCAATTGACAGATTTCAGATCGGAGTCTTAAGCACAATATATTAACACGCAAATCATGTAAAACTAGGTCCACCTATGTGGAAGCGTGATTAGTTCTAGATCATCCAGTTTATAAGAGGAGTTTGAGAATACCTTTATCATATAAGTCTCTTACGTTTAAATCCTCTTAATATATCCCCCACACACTTGATATTTGTGCTCGGTACCCCATTCTTAAACAACAGATGAATTCTAATTTACGGCAGACATCACTAACGCAGTATGTCAATATCGGATTCGACGGAGTTATTCACATGTTCTCTTTTCAAGTTAGCCTAAGTTACGCTTACAGACATACTGAAATCACACACTCGGATGCCTCATTAATATTCCATGTCCTTACGCACAATATTCAGAGCTACAATTCTGTCTATATCAGTTTTTAATTATCAGTAGCATCTCATTAAAATGAAGAAGGAAGGGGATTGTGTCTTGACACACGCCAGCAGTCGAAGGTTGCCAGGATAGCAAGATGCAGTCAACCCTTATTCTCTGTCTTCTGTCTCTATGGTAGCCCAGCATTCAATCAAATTCCATTGTAAGTAAATGAAATTAGAAATTGAGCAAGCGCCATGATATGAATATGATCAATAAACTGTGCTCAAAACGTCATCAGTAAATATTATTCTAAAACACTGTGAGACATTAACAAAATAAATTTTGCCCACAATGGAATTATATTCTAGCACATTGCAGAACTCTTATTCTTATATCACTGCGTCCAGTCTCTTATTATTTTATCGATTCTGAAATCGCCGTTTTTTAGCAAAATACTTGATTGGTGGAATAGATAAATAACCCAGGTAAATTCCTAGAACATAGCATTTACCAGACCAATATTATCAGCTGCGTTCTCCTGAATTTTATGTGTCTTGAGAAGGCTGATTTAGAAAGACTGATCATAACATCAGGCTGTTCTCTCGGTTAGCGTTCATTACTCTCCATATGCTGTATAACAGTATCATCCGTATTCCCTCCCAGTGGTTTGATGATAACACTAGTTAAACTTGAACTGATTCCTACTTCCATTATTCAAACATTTCCTCAGTGACATCTAGACACATTCCCAACAATACTTGGGCTTCATTGACGGTTAATGCTGATAGTATTCACTGATAAATTCTATCAAGCCCGTTTGGATTCACTAGTGTAGACTCATAAGGAAATTTTACTTCGCTCCATAACTCGTTCAGGTGCCATTCCTGGACAATCCTTCAGAGAACGCCTGGCTGAACCATCTCTACAAAGGCTCAGTCCAGGCGAAACTGTTATTAGTCCTCGTCAAGTTGAACAGAAGGAAAAATATTCCTCTTAGTCATTTTACGGATGTACATTAACTACCCCTTGGAGCAGTTCCCTGAATACTAAATAGCAGTTATTTATATGGCTATCTGCATTGGTACGTTGGAGCCATACGCGGGTTTATGGCTTTATAACATTTTAGCAAGAAATACTACAGATATGTGGCAGCCGAAAAATTCCATAATATTTTTCTTACCCAAATCAATGTCACAGTCTCCCACTTCGTTCAAGGGAGTTACTTTTGGGCTTTACAGGAATCGCCAAATTGAAAGAATTCAGGTTTAATTATTTCGAGCACGTTCATGAGTTGATTGCATGCATTGTGTATGGACAATTCAGAATCGACACAGCGGCTCACGGCGAAGTGCATAATAGCTGTGATGCTCACAGAGCGAACGTTGCGACGAGTCCGGAATCAAACCCAAAATGAATAATGAGCATTAATTTCAAACGAGAACAACCTACGTTTGGTATTGTCTGGAGGAGAATGAACAAATTGACTATTTACTCCATCTGAATCATGTGATACAACAATGTTTAACAGCAAAAAGCCTTAGGGGAATCCAGATTTTCGTATCTTGAAAGCGCTGTGCATGTTGTTCGACTTATGCAGAAGTCTTCTTCCTGGCCACATGCAACGGACTTTTCAAGTTACAGAAGACCACACTGGAGTCTGTTGACTACAAAGTTATTCGAACCCTAGTAGTTGTGTTAGCTTTACATCTAGTTATAACAGGCAGTACTCAATTACAGCGTTGCTACTTTCGAGATCACAATGGCTTGCTGCTTATCGGAAAGCCGCAATCAGGTGTCCTTATATCTTCTAATAGGGCTGTATCCCTAACTGAGCACCTGAGTTGGTTCTGAAACATAACCTAAGAGTAATCAAAAATTATGTCCCAAATAGATCTTGGACCAAGGGAACTACTAGTAGTTTGTCTAGATTCTCCATCACCGAGTTTTTCCCGACAGTCCCTGTATTTTAGGTTGCCGAAAACCACGGAGGGCCGAGCTCCATGGCTACGTCCTCATCAGATGTGCAGTCCACATCAACTTTCTGCCGCAAATCAAAGCCATGAAATTTCATGACTTTGCATAGTACCGCATATGCCTTCGTGGTCAGCGTACATATATGTTAGTCACAACCCCTTATGCTTTCAAATCGGCAGTACCACATAAATATTACCAGACCTAATTCTGCACCATATATTGCAGTCAACAGAATGAAAAGCTTCTACAAGAAATAAACAGTTGGGCCTTTCATAATTACGAGGTGGCCCGATTAGTACGAGTGTACGGTGAAGAAAAAGTATTAGTGAGTGCCAAGGGAATTATTAAATTGTACAAGCTGCCATCCAATGTATATCAAATCAAAGTACTTTGATAAGGTGTGCAGCGATACATATAACGAAACGTAGTTGTATCGTGAATTCGAAAATACTTCTTTGTTGTAATTGGTGTGACCATTTTCTGCAATTAATCGAAGAAATTGTGTAAAATTGTTAAAGACAATGTGTATTCACTCTACTGAATGGCTTGTAAACAATCTTCAGTTTATTTGTTATAATACATCACGTAATTTATATGTTGTTATGATAAGCAGCGTTGGTTCAAAACTAAAAGCAATGTGTTTGTAAGTCTAGCGAAGTCTATTGTAAAATAGTATAAGAACTGACTTATAATATTAAAATTGTTAGTTTTCACGATTGCTTCTTAAAATATATGAGTGTTTGAGAATTGAGGCTCTTTGGTTCAGACTGAAAGCGTTTGTATTTACTTCTTGCACTTGACTTGACACAATAACTGCCTATGTTAACTTGGGAATATTTATTGCTCTCTTATCATTTCTCTCCTACATTTAAGAGATCAGTACTTCATGGCTTCCTATTAGACTTTGAAATACTGAATACTTACTATAATTCTGAATTAAATCTCAGTAATTCTGAAATACTTCTAGCATCCTATAAGAAACAAATAGTTATTTTTTTCTTGTATTTGTTGAACTAATATTAATTACCATTGCCGCAGAAATTTTATCTTCGATGAAATCAGTTTCACCGCGACCACGTTTTAATATTATCAACCATAGCTTACTATATATATATATATATATATATATATATATATATATTGCAATACAGCATGTTTCTTGGTTTACTGGCCAACATACTACCATAGGTTTCATTGCCTACCAACATGAATGGGAAAACTAACATTTAATTTTTCTCCCGCATTTATAACGTTTAAGTTACCAAATCAATTTTGGAAAAGTTTGCACTGTTTTTTGAAGGGTACATATCTGCTATAATGCTTCAAA